TCTTCTATCTCTGCATAAACTGCTTCTACGTCTTCATCACTGTAAGATGATGTAGGCATGTAGATCTGCACTAATACCGTTTTTACCGGCTTCAAGTTTAATTTAACCATCACTATCCTATCGCTTTTTTGTGAATAACTTTCTACACTTTACCCTGCTTTCCCATGCAATACAATTCCTACCCCCGAATTACTTTCAACCGATCCTGTATGTATTATTCTAAAGTATCCACTCCAGAAGTCTTCAGCTTCAGGCCAACGGATTTCACCAACGCCTTCTATATCTAATTCTAATCTATTCATAACATTGTCATCAGTTAAAATTAACTAGTCAAAAAGCTAACCTTGTAAAAGGTCCGTCATTTTTTAGTCACCTTTTATTACTATCGAACTCATATTCTATCGATAATCACCAACTTCTTTTATAAACATACCATACATCTTACAACATTTCCACAAGATCGTTAAAAGATGTGCAATATTTTTAAAACATGTAAACAATTAATTAGAGCGCCACGAGCTTTTAAAATTGAAAAAAAAAAAAATTAAGTGACGAACAGTAGTTTATTTTCACTGAATCACTTCGCGCCTGTGTTTTTACAGAGCGGGCCGCTGCTTTCCTTTATTTTTTCCATTTTACCCAATTCGCGCCTCACTCTTAATAGCCGACGCTGCCCAAGAGTTTACCGTCAATTAGATCTATGTTATTATGATATAATTGAAACGACAGCCGATCCGTCGAACGAACGAACATAAGTCAGTGATCTTTTTACAGCCCAGACTAAACATAAATACACATATTCGCTTTCGATGCCAGGAATGTTTGTTAATATGTTTTTTAACACGATCGATTGAGGCAGGTCCAATACTAGGTCAAACGATAATCGCTATTGTGCATACGAGTATGTGACACTGACACTTCTGAGCAGTTTTGATGTCATCTCGTTGGAAAGGCAACAATTGCGCCAGATTCTGCTTCAGGCGTGTTTCTATTTAATAAACTGTAACGAAGCAAGAAATTGAACTCAAACAGTAGAACGGTACAGACATCGTCCTTAAGTGATAAAGCAATCAATCAAATTTAGGGTAAAAACTTTTTTGGTTAATAAAATTAAACAGCGGTGGTGCGGAAATGGGCGGTAAGGAAAGACAATGGTTGCTCTGATAAAAAATTGAAGTATCTTCGAAGTGTTGTTGTTATTATTAAAATGCAAGGTCCCTAGAAGGGTAAAGTGACCGACCACCGAGGTGGCTGTACTGATGTACCTTTAGGTGGATGGTGTGGAAAAGTCAGATAACGTGTGTTTAATTAGGGAAGCCCATCAGTGGCCTAAATGTTGATAAACCTGCAGTGATATACGGTAAGGTAAGGAACTTCGGTTACAAAGTCCAGTGAAGTTCTTCAAGAATATGATCCAAGACCTCCTTTCTCATTGACAAGAAATACAGAATCCGTCATCATGTCAAGGACAGGTCCTAGGATAAAGTCTCCATACCTTGTGACGATTATCTATGGTTTACCGATGGGTCAAGGAACACGGAGAGATGGGAAACTGATATTTACAAGCGCAGAAACGGGCGTGGGTACTTACTACCCTTGGATCGGTTTGCGACTCCATTTTACATGCGAAAAATAGTCATCACTCGATGCGCCCAGGCAGCGTTGGCCAACAGCTGTGATTGGAAAAGTGCGTTAGATACTCTTAGAGGATATCCGACGAAGTTGAAGTTGTTGGAGAACTGCCACCAAGTTCTCAACACACTGGCAACTGAAACCAAGATGGTCTTGCCCTGGATCCCGGGCCTTAGTAGTATAAAGAGAAATAAGCTTGTAAACAACCTTGTAAAATCAGGTGCTCAGCAACAACTCATTGGTGCAGAGCCTAATCAAGCAAAAAATTGAGTGATTGTCTGCCTCAGAGTTATGCAGAGACTGGGAAACAACCAGGATATAGGCTGGCAAAGGTCATCAATTCTCCTACAAACTGTAGACTCTTAGCCTCAGTTTGAAGAATGTTAGAACTCTTGTCGGACTGCTTACAGGTCACTTGAATTAACCGCCAGTTTTTGTCTTTTTTGACACGAGGAAGTGGAAAATGCTCTATTACTGTCCTGCGCTAGCTGAATATAGACGCAATTTTTTTGGATGGCACATTTTAGAAGTGAAGAATGTTACCGCCTTTTGAGAAGATTCCTTTGGAGCAAAAAGCGAAAAGTCAAGGGATTACACGTGCTTCCAGAAGTCTGAACAAGCCCAGACCCAAACAACTATAATACCGATAATAATAATAAAAGTTAATTAGTCTTCACAACGCATCCAAAAAGATGTGAGTTAAGCTCTTTGGCATCAGCCCGTCTTCACTCGCTCAAAGTTGGCCAGTGAAAACTGAGAAGACCGGAAAATAGTAATAATGACTAGGACCTAGGTGTGACAAACACATATTGTTCCAGGTATTCTGAGGTCGCTCATGGGGGTATTTGTATTTGATTATTAATGTTACAAAGGTTTGGGGTTTTTTTATTGTACACCAACCGTTTTTCTGATAAAAGATTTTAATGAAACATTTGGAGATTATCGTTATCAAATAATAATATCAAATGCAATAGAGAAGAAAAATATTTTGAAAGTACTCACCATGCCGTTGCACAAGTTGACTATAACATGAGAGTCGTCTTCGCCTCGCACTTTGCCCCCATACCAACAGTTGACAGTTCGTGAATCGTGTCCAATTCTAAGCGAATCGTTTTTAGAGACATGCGTGACCTAAAGGCACAAGATGCGCAGTTTAGGATACTTTTTTATTACACGTTTTTCCACATCCACTCTGAATGGGTTAGTAGTACAGTTAGAATCTGAAAGAGATGTGTTAGTGGTGAATTAAGAGCGACAAAACATACAGCGTAATGATTGTGATTTTGAAAATTAAAAAAGATGCTACGGAGAGACATGAATATCTATATTGTTTATTTACGATTATTGTTATCTGAGGCCCATAGCACTCTATGCAACTGATTAAAGAATAAACTTCCGAAGTATAAGACCATTTCACCACCTTGTGGCATCATCATTGATTCACTCTAATCGTTTTGATAAGAAACATTCAATTGTGAATTTCATTTGATGATTTAGAAGTAGCAAAATTTGGATATTTATCAGCTAAACGTGGCAAACCACCTTGCCTATTTTTAAAATAATAATTGCATAAAGTACCATTAAGCCACCATCTTTAATATTATGGTGAATACAGGGTTTGTCCGGAAAGTAAAAGGACTGATTTCCTTCTACCGCGACTGTACTTCGGAGCGTGCGCCCACCGGCTGGATTCGGTAGAGGGCATAACGAACGAGCGGCTGGTGAGTTGTCTCCGAGCACCTGGAGAGTCAGAACAGGCTCTTTCGCGCGACGTGTTTCTGTGAGTGGTGCAAGCCGAAAATGCAGCGTTCGTTAGAGCAGAGGTACGCGATTAAATTCTGTGTGAAACTCGGTAAATCTGCGACAGAGACGTTTGATATGTTTCGGAGGCACCAGGTCTTTTCAGAGGGCCGGGACGAGGTCGCCGATGAAGACCGTGCTGGAAGACTTTCGACTTCGACAAACACCGACAATGTGACTCGTGTGCTCGAAGTTTTGAACTCAGACCGTCGACTAAGTATTCGTTTAATTGTCCAGATATTAAATTTACCAAAATCTGTGGTTCATGACATTGTGCGCGAACGTGGTCCCAAAAGTGCTCACTGACGACCAGAAATTGCGGCGAGTGGAAGTGTGCCAAGAAAATTTAAACATGTGTGAAAGTGACCCCCAATTTTTGAATAACGTAATCACAGGTGACGAGTCATGGATCTTTGAGTATGATCCCGAGACAAAGAGGCAATCTTCCGAGTGGCACACGCCGGCGTCTCCTTGTCCAAAAAAGGGAAGAATGAGCAAATCCAAAGTGAAAACAATGCTCATTGTCTTTTTTGACATGAAAGGCATCGTCCACCATGACTTTTGTTTGTTTGCTCGCCTGAAAAGGCCGTTGAAAGGCAAGCATTTTGAGACGACAGAGGGGATCCAAGCAGCATGCACCGCAGCTCTTAAGGCCATTCCGGAGAATGCCTTCCGTGACGACTTCAATGCTTGGAAATCGCGCTGGCAGCGCTGCATCGGCGCAGAAGGAGCCTATTTTGAAAGCTTTTAAAGAATTGTAACGATTTTTAAATCGACTCAGTCCTATTACTTTCCGGACAAACCCTGTACTTAAACTTATTGATTCAAAGTTAAAGAAGTGAACGTACCTACTAGAGGTGTGGAGTGCGGAGGCATGCATTATGAACTTAAATGTACTTAAAAAATTAAGCTCTGGATTTCTTTTGTCTACACTCTGTATGGAACAGCATTTTTAATGATTTATAAATTTTACTGTTTTGACATTTCAATATAAGTTTCAAACTTAGAAGCAATCACATGTATTTCATTCATACGCTCTATTCTAAACTCATCAACTCGTAGGTTTTTCTTTATCATGCCTTTCTTACTGGCTTAGGAACTAATCCTAAGTATACACGAGCTAGCTTAGTATAGCTAGGCACTATTGTCAAGAGATAGTTATTATCTGTAAGTAAATGGGGAATGATGTCCAGAAAAGCAACATGCAATAAGAGCCTAATGTGTTCATTTATTGTTGTTGAGAATTTGTTATTGCCAAGGGTTGTTCAATGTCCGACCGTGTGAGAAAGTAATTACGATCAATTAGATAGGTTCACTAAAAGTAGATAAAGATTGAAACAAATAAACATTTAATAGACAGATGATTAATAAAGCGCGAGAAGAAAATTGTGGATTGTTAGTGGGTCTACCCACCTGAAGAAAAGACGGTATAAAACCATGTTTTAGCGATAGCTCCAAGTACAGCTTTTTTCCGAACATATCAATTTCGTAGTGAGGCTGAGGATCCCAGACTTCTGCTTCATTGTTTCTAAAGTGACCACTATGGTGTCTTAACGGTGGAAAATCTGAAATGAAGGAATCACTATAACATCAAGAATACCAAGGCAATACCTGTGATATAAGAACAAAGGCTTTCACGGCCGGAATCCATAGTAGAATGAAGATTCGGGCTATAGAGCCGTGGTCTAAGTGAACTATCCCGTCCAGATGTTTTGTTAGCTACTGCGGCTGACATCCTCAATGGTGGTGCTGCGTTGACAACGTGAACGTAGAACTCTCAGTCGCTGTCGAGACTTCGAGATATAATCTACGTTCACGTTGTCAACGCATCACCACTGAGTAGCCGCAGTAGCTGACGAAACGTCTAGACGGAATAGTTCACTTAGACCACGGCCCTATAGCCCGAATCTTTATTCTACTAATACCTGTGATCATTAAACAAAAATTTGATTTGTAAAGACTGAAGACTGTGACGTTAACAATAATCGTCATCGCTACAGTCTGTTCAATATATACACCAAATGGGCTTCTAGGGTTGACTTAAGGTATATGGCGATGCGCACTGATTGTATTACAGGACAGACATTACATTACATATATATGAAGGAAGGAGTCCTTCTGTAGTGCTATGTTTAGTGTTGACCAATCAGCGGATAGAATAGTGAAACCAACCAGAAAATTGATAAATTCTTGAGGACAATTAATGGCTATAATGGAATAAATAAGAAAGGTAGACTTTTTCAAGTGAATTAAATATTTCAGCAAGAGGATGCATTGATCTCCTATGCTGATGATTATTGAACACGAACGATCTCTTGTACTTTTCGATTGCCAAGCTTCTTCCTGAAGGACAACAATTAAATGATGTCTTCTATATGGAGGACCTCTAGCATTTAAGGAAGGATTACGGATAGATGCTGCATTACAACAGCATGCTTGCATATTCGCCACATCACGTGTCCAACACACCAGGCTTAGCCCGCTGCGATCTCTTTTTACACAGAATGCAAAACAGTCACGTGCTAAAGACTCTGGAAGGACGTGGAGAGAACAGGAAATAAAACGACGAGGTAGCTGATGAATCTGACTTGTAAGGACTACCAGGGGTGTTACGAGAAACGCTGACAAAAAATTTGATTTTATTGTCGCTAAATATTTTACTTATAGAGAATTGTATGTAAAATGTAATAATTTCCTACCTTCTTGTGTATTATTGTGTTCTTGATCGTATATGATATCATGTTCATGAAGTGGTGGAGGTATCGCAATTTTCAACGGAATCACTAGGGCGATGCCGTCAGTTCCATGCCAGTTGTTATTGTTGCTATTTGCTTTGCCATCCATTTGCCTATTCGTCGAATATTCTGTAACAAAAGAAGAATGCAACATTTCAAANGAATAAATAAGAAAGGTAGACTTTTTCAAGTGAATTAAATATTTCAGCAAGAGGATGCATTGATCTCCTATGCTGATGATTATTGAACACGAACGATCTCTTGTGCTTTTCGATTGCCAAGCTTCTTCCTGAAGGACAACAATTAAATGATGTCTTCTATTCGTATATGGAGGACCTCTAGCATTTAAGGAAGGATTACGGATAGATGCTGCTGCATTACAACGGCATGCTTGCATATTCGCCACATCACGTGTCCTACACACCAGGCTTAGCCCGCTGCGATCTCTTTTTACACAGAATGCAAAACAGTCACGTGCTAAAGACTCTGGAAGGACGTGGAGTGAACAGGAAATAAAACGACGAGGTAGCTGATGAATCTGACTTGTAATGACTACCAGGGGTGTTATGAGAAACGCTGACAGGACGTGGAGAGAACAGGAAATAAAACGACGAGGTAGCTGATGAATCTGACTTGTAAGGACTACCAGGGGTGTTACGAGAAACGCTGACAAAAAATTTGATTTTATTGTCGCTAAATATTTTACTTATAGAGAATTGTATGTAAAATGTAATAATTTCCTACCTTCTTGTGTATTATTGTGTTCTTGATCGTATATGATATCATGTTCATGAAGTGGTGGAGGTATCGCAATTTTCAACGGAATCACTAGGGCGATGCCGTCAGTTCCATGCCAGTTGTTATTGTTGCTATTTGCTTTGCCATCCATTTGCCTATTCGTCGAATATTCTGTAACAAAAGAAGAATGCAACATTTCAAACAAAAAAAAAAAACTTTTGGGTGTTTCATTCCCACCAGCCAGTAATGCTAGTGGGCGGTCAGTCCCTCCGGACTATGCCGGAAGGTAGGGCGGAAGGCCCTCTTCAGCCTGCTTTCAGGAATCGTGGGAATGGGTGGGTGGTGGTTCGCTTGAGAAAGATGAGACGGATGAAATGAAGACAGAAGAGAGTAAAAGATTATCTGTGGAATGTTACTACTGCCTCAGCATTTGCCTAAGTGATCCAAGGAAACCACAGAAAAACGAACCGGCGTCCTCCCGAATGCTAAGCTATGGTCTAGACCTCTAGGCCATGCCGCTCGGTTCTCTATATGGTACATGGCTAAGTATTTAAAGCTAATCTATATACAAGGGGTAAGTGGCGTGGTTGCTACTATTGGTTGAGATTAGGAATTGGAAACTGGTAGGCGTTGTGAAATTCTAACTAAAGGTCGGTTCCGGAGCTATATACCAAAATTACAATCCTAAACTAATCAGATTCGTTACAGTGTGCCCCGAATATCGAGGGACAACTGTCATAAAGCTATACGTCATAAGTTAACAAAACTGCCTGTTTTGTACACTGTACTGTTCATTTCAAGAAGTTGGAGATATGACCCTTCCCTTTATTAGGATGGGCCGTAGCATAATTCCAAATTCAATCATATTTGTCTGCGGAGCTCATTTCTCCGCCGATCATCGAGCGAGAACTAGACAAAAGTGTACAGTGCCTCGTTAAAATTTAAGAATATGCTTTATTTAAAAGCATATTTAGCCAAAAATAATAACAAGTGAATTAACTTAACGTTCTACACGCCTATAAAACTTTTGCTTTGTTTTCTATTGTTA